TTCTTTTTCTTTATATTTTGTATTTAAAATTTCCTTTTCTATTTCTAACTTTTAAATATGTGTCTTTAAAATTTCAATAAAATATTTTTTTAAAAAAAGGTGTGGGACACTTTCATTATTCCTTAGGGGGAGAAATCAATCTCACAAGAGATAAACCACATCAAACTTTATTTCAAAAACAAAAGATAGGCTCTATGAAGCATGACTTTCGAAAATACACACAAGGCCATCAGCAGACCCCAAGATGATGCTGGTCTGCTTGAATTAGTGCTCTCAGGAGAGATTACGTTTAACTAGGTATCAGCAAGAATTCTTGAACACTGTCTGAAATGTGACAAAACATCCAACAAGTACAAAAATAAGAATAAGAATAAGAATAGAGGCTTCTAACACAGAGACCCATAGTACATATAAATCCAAGGATGCATATTCCTGGCTAAAAACCCTTATCTATTTCTAGACCCCATCTGCCTTTCTGAGAACGAGTAGCTAGCTGGGGGGCTATCTCCCAACACATCTCTGGCTTATAATACAATGTGTGAATCCAGGCATGATGATCATGATGTTTTGTTTCAGGTCAGGTCATTTTGCAAATCCACCCATTACAAATTACAAATTGCAGTGCCCAGTTCTACCTACCTTTGTAGGGAGAAGCAAATTTTGAATTTTGAGAGCATGTGGTGGGCGCCCTCACAAAATGGTTGCCACGGGCGAGCTGCCTATTCATGAAATAACTACCACTGCAGACACAGTTATTGACAACACACTTGGTTGTCACCAAGCTTAATTTGGTGATGGAATTAGCCCATTTTCTGAGTTTACACAATACAATGAAAGATGAAACTTACCAAACAGATTGAGTTCATTCTACAGGTTAAGTCAGGAAAAAAACAACAGCAACAACCAACTCAGTTTAAAACGATCCAAGCTTAACAAGTGGTGCAAATGCAACTGATCTAGATAAATGTGCTATGAGACCAACTCACAGGATTGTTGTGTATGGATAAAATTAAGGGAGGTTCCCATGTAAACCACTTTGAGCTTTTGGAAAATACAAGGTAGTCCCCAGTTGAAGAATGAGGTCCATTCCCAAGGTCTGTCCTTAAGTCGACTGTGTACATAAGCTGGAAAAGTATTCTTGTATAATACTGTATAAGTAGTATTGTGTAATGAACTCAAACCATTGTTAATTCAAATCATTGTGTATTTAACTTGAATTTTACTACAATAGGTTCCATTCTTAACTCTAGGTCATCTGTAAACTGGGCTTTCTTAACCCTGGGACTATCTGTAGTTAGGATAGAAATCGAATGAATGAATGAACACAGTCATTGACCAGATATGCTAGCTTTATAATTTAATTACCTTTATAATTTATATAATATTTATATAATTTATATTTATAATTT